TAACATAACTGTGGCATTAAACTCAGTTAGTGAGTGCTCGGTTAAAATATTGCACATATATAGGCCGTTCAGATTACTTGTTAAAGTGCAACGAAATACCTTATATCAGCAGACGATATGTCTGTGTTTGTGGTTGGAGACTCCTTCACCGGCTACAGGGCTCCTCTTTTGTGTGAAATACAGTGCTGAATGAAAAAGCGGGACAATTTGATAATAATAGCCGAATTAGAATGGGCCGCCTAATAATAATAATAACAATAATAATAATAATTATTATTATTATTAATACATTAATAGGCGAATGAGCCTAATATCGTCTTGACTATCGACAAAGACATCTGCTATCGTCGAGATCTCTGACTATCGTCGATACATGATACTATCGTCTATCGGCACAACCCTAACCTGATCCTTCTGAAAACTGACCATGCTAACTACAGTATCCACAGGTAATATTGTAAAAGCATAATAAATAACATGCAATCTCCTTAAAACAGCATAAGGAATTCAAAATTCTTCCTGAATCATTTAGTTTATTTTCTTATTTTTATAATAGCAGTAGCTAATACCAAGTTAAAATACAGCAATATTGTAATGCTAACTATAGTAGCGATTTCCGTAAGGGGAAGTACAGGCTAGCAATGCCACTTTCAAGTGCACCTAGTAAGGTCTGACTTAATTTATAAGGCACTCGAGTCTGAAACTATGGATGCCCATTTCCAAAGAAAAGTCTAAATTGTGACAAGTCAAAATTACAAAAAATACATGTCATAATTATGAGATAAAAAGTCAAAATTATGAAATTAAAAGTTAAAATTGACTCACAATTCACAAAAATGTCATAATTATCAAATAAAACCATGACATTGACTTAAGTCACTTGTGAAATAGTCAAGAAGTCAAAATGATGAAAAACCATGTCATAATTATGTCAAAATTATGAAATACCATGACAGTTATGAGATAGAAAATCTAAATTTTTAACTACTAAATCATAATAATTAGATTATAAATTGAAATCATCATCCCAAATTCAGAATTTTGACATACAAATTGCTGAAATTGACATAAGTCAGCTATGAAATAAAAAGTCATAATTATGACAAGTCAAAATTATAAAAATACATGTCATAAATATGAAATAAAAAGTAAAAATTAAGAAATTAAAAGTTAGAACCGACAGTCATAATTCAGAAGTCATAATTATGAGGAAAAAAACCTGACATTGACATAAGCCACTTATGAAATAGTCATAATTATGACAAGAAGTCAAAATTATGAAATACCATGTCATAATTATGAGATAAGTCAAAATTATGAAAAGTTAAAATTGACAGTCATAATTCACAAAAACTTGTGTTATACAAAATACTATATTGTGTAAAACACAAATACTACTTTTGAATATTTAGACTTTTATCCCTTAATCGCAACTTTTTATTCATAATTAAGATTTACCAAAGCATGATTTTGTTTCCTATGTGAACAAATGAGTTTCCATATAAAACAAAATACAAAAGCAAAATAAATGCATAAAAAATGTGTTGTTCCAGTGGATAAACACAAGTGAATACAAGTGCAACATTTTTTACACAAACTACAGGATTATTTATGTATGGTATCTAAAATAATGCCTTAAAGGAATAGGTCACTTTTTAATTTAGTCCTCCCCATTGACTTGTAGAGTTTTTTTACCCCATACTATGGAAGTCAATAGGGACCAGCAACTGAAGGTGAACTTATCCCTTTAATTTTGATGTTAACAAGAATTTTTAAATCAAATAAAATATAAGTCAATGAAATGAAAGTATCTTATTAAAATCATTCACTGCCATACACCTTAGAGCTGCTTTCTGCCATCTTTGATGTGGACATGACTCTTCCAACCTGCATAACCTAAACCTAAATGACACGTATTGAACTGTGGTGGCTACTTTACATGTCATATCTGTCGGTTCTTGACCATAATAAGCTGCAAACAGGACCAGCCTTCATGCTGACTCTGGTCTAGCTAAGCACTAGGTTTCCCAACACTAGTTTGTAATTCAGCCCATGTGTCTTGAAAACCCAGTTGATGGCTCAATCTACCTGAGGCCTGAAGCGTTCAGGTGGATTTGATTGTCATAGTAAATGCGAAACATGCCCTTGGAAGCTGATTACACTTCCAAGAGTTGTCAGCATAAGGTTGAGGTATGTAGCCCAAGGTAGCATACTAACAGTTTAATACGGTCTAAATTGAGTTTGCAAAGTGAATTAGCATTACTTTGGTTGTTAACCTGAGATTAAGATGGTCTGTGTAGCTCTTGGGAGACTTAAAATTTGCAGTGGAAATTACAGGCTAACGTTAAAGGCGAAGACGGTGTGAAATGAGACAAAACGACACGAATGTTGATGAGAATCGTGTGCATGC